ATTATATGAATATTCATATTCCTTTTATTATAAGCCTCCATTTGATCTATTGATTACCATTATACGATTTACTATCCTTGATTTATTCCCAATTTATTAGTTACAGTCTCTCACATTCATAGCTACTTTTAGCTTCATCTTGTATAATTGTTATTTTTATTTCATGTTATGATGCTGTCTGATTTGTTTGTGTATAAACGCAGTATGTCTGGAATATATTATTCACATAGCAGAGACTGATATTAGTGCTCTGGTCTTAAGTACCTGGGTTGGGTGCGAACCTATTATCTCGGAGGGTCAATAAGAACTCAGAGTTAACTCTAGGCTGATCGTGCTGTTTGCAAGTCATTGGTTTGGTCAATAAGTCGGTTTTCTAATTGGCGATCTTATCACGTGATAATTAACAAGTCATTAAGATCATAACAGTCTTAACTACAGAAATTTAAATACTTCCCATCATGAATATTCTCGTCTCAGAATTATAAGATTACTGAATTAACAAATCTGACCGTAGTTGATATAAAAGACTAATGTTAGTTAGAAAATCATTGCAAATATAGAAGCACTGGATAACAGATTTATCTTAGTATGAGTAGTGCGTTACCACAACCACAACTCAGGGGACTGAACTCAGGACCTACGGGTCTCCCGGTGAGCACCTAAACTTTATACCATTGAGTCGGTATTTGATGATGTACATACTTAACTTCAATCAATTTTCACTATTGTGTGACCATTTTCTATCGCTTGCGGTGGATTATTGTATTACATCCGATATACCTAAACTTCATTGGTCACGGCTTCTTACTAAATCATCTTGAATTACCTTTCGAAGTTAGTTATTAGCGAGCACATGATTACTATTATTAAAAAAGGTTTGTAGAAATACTTTAATTTTCATTGCTTATATTATAAACTGGTTTTAATCAAGAAAGAATTCAACAGAAGTTGATTTGTCCTATTATAAGACTCTGATAAATTCACACAGATCACATATTATATCATTATTAAGTGTTTACATTTGCAAGTTAATAATATAAAACGATGCGAAATCACAATGTTACCTGATTGAAAACTAGCATTTTATTACAATGATGACAGAAAAGGAAAGATTATTTCTTTCTATGAAGAAAATAGGTTTATAATATCATATGTTTTAAATCGTTTGAAGTGACTCTTTAAATTGTACTTATTCTGTTCTGTTCCTATGAATATTAATAATTGAACATGTGATTGAAGTGTAAATTCATAGCAATATAAAGAAATATATAAACTGGTTTATGGAAACCAAATACTTCAGTAATATATAAATAATACCCAACTACTAGACGCATATACAATAAAATCATTTAGTTAACTAATGAATTTCAATTATTTGACAAAATAAAAATGAAATTAATAGGTAGTGTTGTGGGGCCATTATTTTTGTGTCAATTAGATCGCATGATGTTCATCGAAGGGCTCTCCACTTTAGTGGCCCGAGATCTGACTGCAATTAGATCGTATGAATGATCGTTGTCGAAATATATATGTCGCCTATCCTCGTATATAATCATTGACTTAAATCGCGTTAGTCAGTAACAGAATTAAATAAGTCAAACAACGAGAATGAACTTTTGAATACATATATTTTGTATAATCGTTGATCAGGCAAACAAACAGGGCGACGATGCGAAGAGAAGAAAGAGAAGCAAAAATAACGCGCGGTGGAGATAGTGGATAAGCCAACTCCCATTTAACCAAGCGTTAATCAATATTAATAGTTACACAAAAACAAGTTACAGACATGTGATGAGTAATGGGATAAGAAGTGTAAACACACATACGCGCTGAGGAGTCCCATACTAGGACGAAACGGCCGTCCAGTGCTTCCAGGTTTTCCATGGTGGTCTAGCTTCAATTGATTCATGATTTCAACTATTGACATATAAAAACAGTCAAGATTGATGAGCAAATAATTAGCAAGGTCAGAATGTGACTCAATAGAATGAATAGATTGAGCTGTCCGAAAGCTAGCATAATAACAGACACTACAGGGCAAAATCACTTTAATGGGTAATGATAATGTAAATGATGGTGAGTTTTGAATATCGATGATAATGGCTAAATATAGTGTGTGATGCGAGTTTCATTTAATTCAGGATTTATCAGTTGTAGAGACTGTTCAATATAAACATAAATATTAATGACTTCCATTCGAGTACTTAGAACTATCTAACATTTCAAGAGATAACGGTTCACTCAAATTCATGGCTACATTACAATCAGATAGATGGAATTCTATCAACACTCAAGGAATAGACAAAGATTATATTGGTCACTATTCAGTGATGATTTTATTTTAGATATTTTAGTCGTACGGGAGTTTAGTCGATGACCGAGTAGCTCATTGATGATGTTGCAGAGAGTGAAGCTATGTGACGTGTGTTTGGATGGCACAAGAGCATCAATTGTCTCAAAACTGTAGATATGCTTTACTGATTGATGCTAATCAGCAAGAAACTCATGTCCAAGGTTTCCTGTTGATCACTTCCAAAAACCTAGAAAGTTTGAGGCTACTTTGGTACTTTAATTCTGTTACTGATCAATTTTTTATCAATGAATAAATAATTTCTAGGCAGATTACATGCCTGAAAAAGATACGTTATTTTAAAGACAATGCAAATATATGTAATTGACTGTTTTCTTTGGCTTTACGGTATCATGTTAGGTGGCTTCTAATGATTTTAATTTAATAGTGCCAGTAAAACAGTCTTGGTGTGTGGACATCAGTTATGGCGCAACTAATTACTGCCATCAAAATAGCTAGTTGGTTGAAACTTCAATTACAAAGAATAACGTAAACTGTGAGGATACTTGTCAAATAAGTGAACCAGTATTGCGTAAAATTTTCCTAAATTTAATTTAACAATTTCAGGTAAAATGAAAAACCCCACTTACAGACACTAATTCAGTACATTCCTCTTCCAGGTACTCCTCACTTTATTTACTTATCCATAAAGCAGTGGGATGTGGCTTAAAAAGGAATAAAGGTTAGTAACTTGTAAAATCTCCAACTACTTACCAACAACACTAATACCAAATGGTGTAAGATCATCTAACAGTACTAAAGGAAAACATTCCATGGATCTAAATCAGCTAGTATATATCATCATAAAACTTTGGGTGATGAACAAAACAGAACAACAGCACACTGATAAGTTACTCAGAGGTAACAGAGATGTGACAACTGAAATTCAACTAATGTGCACAACAACAGAAATTGTTCTTTACTTTAAACTGCCTCACTACTTTACTGTTACTCTTCCTTTCAAGTAAAATAAGAACGGTAAATTTGTATTCTTAATAAGAATTAATTATATGAAAATCTTATTTTATACCGATAACTTCTACAAACATTCTTATAAGCACTGGTTAGTTGCTTCATCTTAGTATGGGATTCCTTAGAAATGAACATCTAGGATCTTCATAATGAAGAATAAATCCAGTATTTTACATCTAGCGGCAAGAACTAAACTTTTTGACTACTGAACCTGGATACAACGTTATACATATATTCACTTAACGTTTAAGGAAATAACAGAATTGCATTCAAAAATTTATTTTAGTTTCTCTTTCTCTCTCTCTCTGATTATGAGTCAAAATATGAAGTGGCATCATTTTAAAAGAGAAAACAAAAAAGAAAAAAAAACAGAAAGGAAATACAAGCACAACAACAAATAAAAGAAAAAAGAAATGAAATTAAGACACAATAAATAAATGTTAAGTACATTTTCTACTTTTATGATTCTCTATTCATTTATATTCACTAAATTAATATAAATAAAGATTTATGCATTTGTTTCATATAGATTAACTATATTTTATCAACGGAATGATATCAAATTGTTACTTTCTTTTGTTTACTCATTTCTGTTTAATTTTTTTCGGTTTTCTCTTTTAAATGATACTAAATGAAATGTATATATATATATATATATATATATATATATATATATATATATATAGTAAAACGGAACATTGAACATCGTTAATCATATTATTACAGTTCATGAATGTATATTATCCGATGAAGTAAATAAATACACAATGACTATTTATAGTGAAATTTAGTTTACTTTTTTGTTATTGTTCTTTTTTCTTCTATTTTTAAATCAATGTTATCTATGAGAGAAATGTTTTAAAATTTGGGAAAAAAACAAACGTAAAGAAAAACAAAACAAAGAGAAATGATGAGCAGAAAGTACAATAATAAAAGAATAATCATATCCCTACATTTTCATATCATTGATTATAATAAGATAACAGGTATAATTCTATGCAATAAACCTTTAATTATAATATAAAATAATTCAATGACATTTCAATGGATCGACTTAAATTTCTACTGATTATTCACACTTTTCATTCATATATGTAAACACTTTACTTTATGATTGAAATCTGAATGAAGTAACGTTTAAATGATTTAAGTTTTCATTAAATGGAACAAAATAAACGAAAGAGGGGGGCGTGATGGTGGTGTTGGTGATAGTGGGAGAGAATCATGAAATCAATGATAAAAATCATCTCAATCAAATAAATATATCATCATACAATTTTATAAAGAAACAACATCGTATATTATCGTAGCATTGAATGTTTACAATTGATTATCACGTATTTTCATTCTTGTATTCTTGTTAACAATAGATAACAATCAATTAAACTCATTGGTACTTAATAAAGAATGAAGTAATGAAAATTCTATCATAAAATCTTCTTTTAAAAGAGAAACAAATATTTCTGTACATTATTTAAAGTAAACTTTTTTTTATATTGTAAAACAAGTTGAAAAATGACATAATGTAGAGTATATGAAATGATTCATGTGCATGAATGCATAAGTGGATACTTGTGTGTGTATGTGTGTGTGCATGTGTGTGTTCATGTGTGCATGTATATGTGACAGACAAAAAGGCAATTTATGTGAAAGAATCAACCATTTAATATTTCTCAGTTTATATCCCCAATAAATAAATCAAAAGCATCACAGATATGCTAATATTTATTATGGTATATTGTTTTCGTTGAAGGTTAATACAAACAGCTACATTTTTATTTGAATTCGATTCTTGACTTTTGTTTAAATTAGTTAAGTTGATTATATCATTATTATTTTCTGTATTTTGTTTATTTGTCCATAAAGAATTATTAAGATTCTGATGATAATTTGGATTAAATAAACTATTATTACGTAAGAATTTCTCATCAGATCCCATTATTGATATATTTAATCCTTGTGAATTCATATTAATAAAAGGAAACATTTGTGGATAATCAAGTTCACCTTTGGAATCGTGTAAACCACTTTCATCATAATTTATTTCTAAATAACAATAGAATATAAAAGTAAAATATTTGATTGAAATAATTATATTTTTCATAATAGTGCAAGATATCAGAAGGGGTTTTGTGGATATTATAGTAATTTTAATAGTTGAGATCATGAGTCTATTGAAAGTAGACTACTATGGAAAACCTAGAAGTAGTAGACGGCCATTTCGTCCCATTTTGAGACTCCCCATCAATGCGTACCTACGATCTTGCCTCGCGAGATTCGAACTCAGGACCTATCGGTCTTGCGCGCAAACGCTCGACTTCTAAACCTCTGAACCGGCATCTAATGATGTTAATGTCTAACTTCAATCGATCCAATAATGGCTGCACAACCATTAATCGATTGTCTGAGGTAGATATCTGTCTCTACTAGACACGAATTGAAATCCACTGGTCACCACTTCTCACTTGAACTTCAGTCACTAGGGACAATATGGTGTTTATTATCAGTATGGGGTTGTGGAGACTGTTAAATATTTGATTGACATCGGTTGATGTTACACTACCAGCCGTCCAGTGCTTCCAGGTTTTCAATGGTGATCTGACATCAATGGATTCATGATCTCAGTAAAAAAGATATAAATGAAAACAACCTAACATCGAAACTTTCTAATAATTAATTTATGTTTTTGAGTTGTCTTTTCTTAAATTTATCAACATCACGATATTCTTTTTAGAGTCGATTAATTACGGTAGTAGAAATAAAAAGTTTAATGTCATAGTATACATCATAGACTATCCTTATTTAGACGATCATCAAATAATCGTCTTGCACTAAACAATTGTTTTATCGTAGTATGAGACGTTTTACCAATCCTCATCCAAGAGTTCAGGAGGAATTAAATTCAAAACAAACAGGTTCTAAATAGAGCGCTTAACCTTTAAACAACTGAAGAGTCTTATAATAAAATGAAACAGTTGTCCAATGCTTGCCAGTTTCTAATGATTGTCTAACTAATGCCAGTTCATAATGTAAACTAAAAAATTCAACAAAATCCGCTAAAATCTCACAATAACGATCCTAATTACCTAATAAAAAGTTCAAATAATTAAAAAAATATTTTTATCAAATGGAATCTGTTCGGTTTGAAGTAGGAAATTTATCCGATCAATAGGGTTATTTCAGTAATTTTATTGATTACTTATTTGACGATAAAATAAAGTTAAAATTTCGTCTAAATCTGTACCTTCTTGAATTAAACTATTATCTACTGGTTTTCCATATGTATGTTCTTTAGTTGGTGAACTAATTGGAGTCCATGCATATAATGTCCAACCTGGGAAAAAACCGGAGCCAAGATTTGAATTTCTATCTAATGGTCTTGTTTGTTGTTTCCTATCAGGTGAATTCTGAAACAGAGAAAGAAAGGGAGAGAGAAATATAGAACTACTTAATTTTTCTAAACTATAAACAATAATAAGTTTTTATGATTTAGAATTAAAAATAACTTGATTGTACAAAGTCGAAACTAGACACAATAACAAGAAATATCTATAACGAATGTATACAACGTGCAAAACAGTCTCCAACCTTTGAAAAAACAAAAAGAACTCATAAATGTTGATCCAACTCCGAAAAGTAGCAGTATATTGTGCCATATGTAAGTATCTATACAAAAACTTAAAAGAAAGCTTGAGATCCAGCTAGACTGGAATTATTACAGAACCTGCTTGAAATTTAATGTGAATTATTGAACAATGTAATGATAATAGAAATTCTAAAGTTTGTTTCATGCAGTAATGATAAAATTGATTTTTATTTGAAACTGGAAAGCTACTGGATAAAGGAAAAATAGAATAGTTTAAATTATTATAGGATCCTATGAGATTATTTGTTCACAGGGATAAACGATCTGACAAAATGTATTTTAAAGCATGTTAGTAATGTGAATATTATCTTAATGTCTATTAACTTGAAACGGTTGTTAATAAACTCTGGAAAATGTGAAAAGAGCATAATATTTATAATATTAACAAACTCATTTGAAAAGGGTTTAAATAAATTCCAAAGGTCAATTTCTTTCATAACTTAGCTCTTCATACTAGAGAGATTTGACATGTTTTACATAACTCTTATAAAACACTAGGTAACTTGATATTATATATCGGTATAAGGTTGTGGAAGTTGTTGATTATATATTGATATGATGAATGGATCAACGTTTGACCACCGTTGAAAACCTGGAAGCGCCGAAAAACCGTTTCGTTCCAGTACGGAACTCCTCAGCAGTGCGCATCCACGATCTCGCGTCAAAGGGACTCGAACCCAGGACCTTGTATAAATGATCTTCGATTTTCCTACCTAAACAATGAATAAATTTCAGTCATATCATTCTTTTTAATTATATTATGACGATTCAAGGTTTGTATGATGATGAGAATCGGTTAAAGTTTATTGATTTATGCGTTTGATGAATAAACTAATTCAGAATAAAGTATTCCTGATCAATCTTTTCTAAGAGTGCTCACTATAGACAATATTCATTAAAAAATTGATTATAAGATTTATTTAAAAAAAGAAACTTCAAATGTTCAACTTATTTTCTGCAACTTAGTTGTCAATATGTTTTACACAGGAGAGTATGTTCGCACGATTAAAAATAAACTGACAATTGTTCATTATCTAACCCTAGCTACTGAAAAAAATTCATAATTTTAACATGATAATGTTCAAAAACAAATTTTTGTTTTACTTTTTTTCTTGAATTTCCTTGATTTGTAGTCATTTGTATTGGTTTCGAAGAGGAATCCGATGATGATGGATTATTACTTTTAGAATTCATGGGCATTTTACGTTGTACTTCCTCGTCTTCTTCTTCTCCTACTCCTTGTGAATTCCAGTTTAGTATTGATCCATAAGCGAGCATACCTAAAGAATTGGTCATATCTGAATGTGAATTGGATGATGTTTTTCCAGTTTCATATTGTTCTGATACTGAAATAATGAAGAAAAAAATTTGTAAATCATCCAAATATATTTTACAATAAATAAGTCGATACTTTCAAATGAAAAGAATAATCATTTACCCTAGAAAACAATTACTTTTAAGTTTGTCTCAAATACTGATTTTAGGCAGAATTTTCGCTCGAGTTTGAAAAGAATTTTGTAGTATTTTCTATATTATATAAGGTGCTTATTGTTCTCATTCACTTTCGTATGTGAAATTAGGTTACTTCAGTGGTTGAAAACATTATTTTAGTATCAGAAGGGGTTTTGTGGAGATTGTAGTAATTTCAATAGTTAATATCATGAGTCCATGGAAAACCTGGAAGCACTAGACGGCCTTTTCGTCCTATTGTAGGCCTCCTCAGCTATGCGCATCCACGACCCCACCCCGCGAGATTCGAACCCAGGACCTATCAGTCTTATGCACGGGTGAGCCGGCATCCAACGGTGTCAATGTCAACATATACTCACTAGTGACTGACTTCAAGAGATATATTCTGGAGTTCTAGTGAGAAGCAGTGACCAGTAGAGTTCAACTGGGTCTGTTGTGAGATAGTAACTCATTGATGTCAATAGTGGATATGTCGCTCAAAATTATTTTACTTATATTAACATGTAAAAACTATGATTTCCGATATCTTATTTATTAATTGTTCAGCTATAATAATAATGGGTTCAGACATCATTTAGACTAGTCTATCACTTTTCAAAGCAACATATATCTTATTAGAGTAAATTATCCTTCTAGGTACTACATACTTTAGATTTATTTTTAATACTTAAAGCTACCATAATTTGATTTTGCTTCAGATTACTATTGAAAATATTGTGCTATTGTCCTGCGTATTGTTTGTGCACACAAATAATTGAACTGAATTGTCTATGATTCGATATAAAACTATAGATGACAATATTTGAGTAATTCCCTAGAATCCCTAAATTCACTTGTTTCTGGATGATACGTTGAAATCTTTTGATGTATGGAAACCTACATATATGTATGGTAAATAGTTATTTACTGTCAACATGAGCCATTCTATATACTTGATAACCATTTCACTTATTCGGAAAGTAATATCGCCCTCAAGAGAGTTTTTTGTTTACATATCGATAATCAGATGGTGTGGTGGGTTTATAGCTCAGGTGGATGACTTTTAGTAGAGTTTCGTTCACTTAGATGGATAGTTTCATCACCAAGCTAATATTGTTCTTCTGAATGAAGTCACCAGCCCAAAATTTCGGTAGAAATAAAGTATTCGTATTTCGCCACATATGATTGACTGTTTGGTTCGCAGACTTCAATCTTGATTGTTGACCTTAATTCTGTCATCGAATGTTTGACTTTCCCTTTGACCTTATCCTTGCTTCGAAATTTTTCATAATATTTCCAATTAGTTAGTAAATGCGACCTAATTTTCAATGTGCTTATTGATTATTGATTGACCTAAGTGTCAAGCTTCTAAATATTTTCTGATTTTTCCTGTATTACCTCTCGCTAAAATCTCATTATTTCCCTTGTCAATTATCAACGTACATTAGTATAAGCAAATATATATTGTAGCACTTAACAGACAGTTGATATTTTGCAGGTGAAGATAAAAAGGTAGTTCACCTTGTCTGATATAGTGATTCTTGTAGATGGGACAGTTTATTTTGTAGATGATGGTTGGTTTTTCTTCTCTGTAATTTCATCTTTTATCAGTATAGATTTGTGGAGATTGTTGAGTTTAATTAAAACTACAGACTGATCTAAGTTAGATCATCACTGAAAAAATGAAAACACTGGACGACCCTTTTGTTCCAGGTTTTAGTGTTGGTTTAACTAAAGTTGGTTCATGATTCTAGAGAAATTTTATCCTTACTTCGTGTAAGATTGACTAAAGTGGTTTAACTGGTTTATGTGTTACACGTATTCAAACGGCCTCAGTAAACTTGTAGTTTCTGATATTTCCTTTTCATATATTTCGATTATCCATTTGTTGGTTTGCATATTTGATTTTCTTTTCGGTTGATGAGTTTGATTGATGTTCTTCAACGAATTTTGGTGGATATCACTTCTTCTGAGAAATAGTTATTAAATATTTCTTAATATTCTGATGTGGTAAGTGTTCTGGTTTATGCTTTCGCTCTTTTGTATAAAGGTTTTACTCATTTGAGTTTGCTAGTTCCTGGATTGTTCATAATTTAGATGAGAACGTGGTCTGTGTGAATTGGCTCCCTATACATCTGACTCATTTATCTTCTTATGCTGGTTAAGGTGGTCAGCACATCCAAGAATAGTATTTTGTTGTTCGATTCGGTTTCTATTATGAAATTTATGTTATCGAGGACATTACTGATCAGAATGCAGGCATTTTCCATAGCATACTTACCGATGATGACGAATGACCTGATAGGAATCAGTGATCATATCGAGCCATGCAATCCTTGCATCATTCCTTCTGAGATAAGTTCACATTATCAGTCGTCACATAGGTATTCCTTTTGTCTGTTTGTAGTTGATGTTTGTGAATTAAAAGCACGTTATTCGGCGTAAATAGGTGAATTCAAATAGACTTTAACTTTGACGTCTAATGTGAATTGGAAGATTAGTGTCACTTGTGGCTGGGCCAAAGATAAAGGGTCATTTGTTAACTTCGGTTCAATCAAGGTGATTAAAACTGCTGATCTTGATATTATTAGGAATTTCCAGATTTCTTGTTATGTTATTCATAAAATTAAAGAATGGTGTGTTATTCTATTAGAACAGCTAAATAACTTGGAGGTGATTTTTTACTTTTATATCACTTTTTTGTACTTTAAGGCATTGGTCATCTGTCAATACTGTGTTGTTTACTACACAGTTCATAGTTCTACTGAATTCAGTAAACGATTTGAAAATGTTATATCATACGCATCTTTTGCAAAGATTAGCAAACATTTTTATGGTTTGTAAGTTTCTGAATCAACACCAAAATTTACTGTTACTACCTCGAGACTAATCATGTGAAGTCCCTTAAAGTGTGTGTGTAAATATTATATGGATCAAATCGAAGAGAACTTAATTCAATACCTCCAGGTTTTTGAGATGCTGAAATTCGTGCCCATGATTCCGACGGTGTATTTCCTTTAGATTTACCACTTCCATTTGAAGTAGATTTGGCGTTTAATGAATTATAATAGTTCGTCTCAGCTAACAATGACTTCACGGACCATTCCAAATCTCTAGATGCTCTTACTAGAATTTCATTGGCACGTCGAAAAGCTAATTCCTTCTACAGTTAGATTATAACAAAAAAATAAAGTGGAGAAAGTAACTGAAATTAACCAAACTGAAAAAACAAATCATCCTGAAGACAAAACATCCATTTTATTTGACGGAGAAAGTGCAGTAAAATCATATTTATATTTAATTGAAACATAATTTTCATTTTTCAAGTTTACAAGTGGTACATCATAACGCAATAATTAAGTTACAATGTAGATTACAATAGATATTCTTGTTTTACAGTAAACCTACACTGAAAATATTCTACGGCTTTGATCAACTAAACAACATTTAATGTAATAAATAATTTTTTACGATCACTGTTAAAAACCAGATATCTAAAAATTTGCCTTACACTAGATAAACAAGCTAACAAAAATGAAGTATTGGGTTATAAAAATTGTTAAGTTTTTTTTTAAGATCATGAATCAAATAATGTTAGACTACCATCAAAAACCTGGAAGCAGTGGACGGCCGTTTCGTCCCAGTATGGGACTCCCCAGCAGGACCTTCGGTCCCGCGCGCGAACTGTTAGCCTCTAAACCTCTGAACCGGCATCCAATGGTGTTAAAGTCTAACTTCAATCGATCCATGAATGGCTGCGCAACCATTCATCCATTGTCTGAGGTAGATACATGCCTGACGTGACCAGTGGAGTCCAATCCGTGTCGGACCACGAGTGCGAGATCGTGGATGCGCACTGCTGAGGTCTGCAGAATAACCTCCGATTTGATAGCATTTAATTAAAAGTATTTTCAATGAATATACACAAAACTACAAGTTATCTTACCAGATATTTGCAACTTTTGACAAGATATCTCAATAATTTATTATTTTTGTTTCCGTGACTTTTAACTACTTTATTTTAATAAGTAGCAATAAATATTTCAGAAAGTTTTGAATGTATAAATATCTTGTTAATCGTGAAGTATTACTGAAAGCACTTAGAGACAAGTGCAATCATAAAGAAGTTCAGATTTACAAGGAGATGGGTTTTAACCGTGTAACGAAGTTTTTCAACCACAATGGTGACCACAAATTAGAATTTAGTTAGTTTTGGTTGATAGAAGAAATCATAGGGGTAACAGATATTTTTATATTTTAAAAAATCACTTCGTTCAAAGATAAATTCAATGACGATTCATTATCACGAAAGTGATGGTAACAAGAAATTTACTAATCATGGATCGTTATTTTAATTTGGGAGCCAAATAGATTAAGATGTATTCACTTATTCTACTTTCTCATAACGAAAAGGCATATCGTTACTCTAACATAGATTAATATTAATGTGGATACGTGATAATATCAAACCAGTGTCATTTCAATGCCATGTTTTCCAAGTTATTTTTGACCTACTTTCTGTTATAAAACCTTAATTTAGTTTTTTTATCAATTCTGTTACATCTAGTACACTTATCATCATACTATCAATTTGTACTTTTTACTTATTACGTTTGGTTATGTAATCTGTTTCTCTGTAATTATTGATCCATAAATTTCCTTGATCGATTTAACTATTTTTCATAAATGGATAGAAATATTACAATATATTAGTGCAAAACTTGATCAGGATCTAATTGAAAACAATACCATTCACTTATACGCGTTGTTTTAATTTGCATTATAGGGATTTTTATTAGTTTAAAATAGTTTATTCGTTCATTTTATTATTAGAATTAGTTACAATGATAGGTTACGAAGACAGTACATTCCACAACTAATGACAAACGTATACCGAAAACAAAATTATGTTATTACGGAAATGTTTCCACTTTACATATATTCTTCATAGTTTAAACTACGAACTGATGTTATCTAAACCACCACTGAAAAGCAGAAAGCACTAAAGAGATGCCTCGCTCTAGTATAGGATTTTTCAACAGTGGGAATCAATAACCAAACTACACGAGATCGAACCCAGGACCTTCGGATTTCGAGGTGAACGCTTAGTCTTCATACCACGACCAAAACGTAATGGTTTAAGTGCTTAACTTCAATCAATTCACTACATAATGCAACCATGTTCAAATGTTAGTGATGGTTTAGTGCCTCATAGTTGACATGACTAGATTTCTCTTGTCACGGTTTCACATCAGAAGTTCTGGAATTACGTCTTAAAATTAATCACTACTGTAGACACTCTATTATTATCGTAGAAGATTAGTGGATAAAATTCAACGTAATAAAAACCAATAAACAGTTTGTGTTGATTTCAGAAATAGTTCATTGTTGAAGAAGACTCTGAAACATCATGGTTTACAGTCCTACTAAAACATTTTATATAATTATATTTTGAAGTCTAAAATCAAATTGTTACTTATTTAATATTAGTTCACTCCAACCTCTAATTAACTTACATCATGTTGTAATGGAGAATTCCATGATGGATTATTCAATAAATAGTTAGTCGATGCAATTGAAGCTGATAGTAGATCATCTGTTTCACTGACACTTGACTGTTGTACATCATTCGTTGGTATAAATGATGTTCGTTGTTTTCGACTTGGTGATAACTTCTCATTATAATTTTCATTTTGTGAACTTGTAACAATAGTTTCTTGTAATTTTGGTTCATGTTGACAAAATGTACAATCTTCTTCATGAAAACTGTCAAAAAATTATTTTTTTTTAAAAATGTTACATGGAAATAAACTACAATCTAAGTAGTATTTGAAAAGATTTTGGTGAGATCATGGATTTCATTGCTATCCATTAACCATCTTTACCTATAATGCATATGAATTAAGGCAATATCTATGTAATATACACAGTATGCACATATACCAGTAAGCGACTGATCACTTACAGTCCTAAACATCAATGTGAAGATTCAGGTAAACAATACCTCCACTCCATTGAACGTGCAAATGGCTATCAGGAGTCAGTAGCTAGGTAGGTAACGCGATGATGTTTGAAGTGAACGATACTGGGTTTGAGACTCAGAGTAGACATCAACTCTGAGATGCAGATACATTCAGCTGACTAGTTCCAAATATGACGAAACGTGCATCCTGGATTCTACTGCTGGTCGCTACCCATCTTTTCTTGGAGTACTAGGTTAGCGATCTTATAACACATCAATTTTGTATTTTTCAACGTACATTTAACCTTTAACTAGTAGGTTGGAATTCTATGGAACGCATTATTAACTTCAGCTCATATGTGATATTGAGTAACCACTATTATACTAGTGATACTATTAAAGTAGAGACGAAGCTTTTGAGTAAAACGTTAATAATTGAAATTCATAAACCACTGGAACGGTTGTAATCCTATTAGACCTATGACGCTTCTGGCACTCAGAAAGCAGGTTTACATTATGTTACCATTTAGAGGTGACTTGAACAGTCTCATGTTGAAACGGAGATTTAAATTAGCTATCAACAGAACATTTTATGCAGCCCAACTTGTCGTTAATGAAAAGACAAGGTATATGTTTCACCAAAACCCAAACAGCACGAAAGCGATTGTGTCACATCCCATTGTGTCTAACATTTTACATGTATGAGCGGAAACACGTACATAGGGAGGAGCAATTGCGATCTGCAATTAACGATGCCGGAACATATACTCAAATGGCTGCAGGAACAAATCAATTCTAAAGGTCACATAAAATCACACGATAAACAGACATCTTCCTTCATTGCGAAACATTTAGTTGAGACTGGTCATAAGGGTTGATATCAAGTCATAATATGTAGTGTTGTACATAAGCCTTCAAGGATGCATACTAAGGTTTATTAAAGTCATGACTATACGGAAATTGAAACTTCCTTTATGTGTTCAAAAACAATTTGTTCTTACCGTTAATCTACCCTGGTAATAGTGATTTATTATCCAGATTGATTATCACATTGTTTTTGTGTACTTTATTTTTTTTTGTTACGTCTTGCATTTAACCTATCTAGTTGACCTTTTAATTTTCATATAAAAATGTCCGAATAAGCATATGTGTGTGGTCAGACTGTTCGAAATTTATCGCGCAAATAAATTACATAATTCTGATAACTTTCATCTCATTGTATTATCGAAATTTATCAAAGGGACTAATTGTTTTAAATCATATTTAGGTTCAATAAAATGATTTTAGATTGAGATCATGAACCGATTGATGTTAGACCACCATTGAAAACCTGGAACCACTGGATGGCCGTTTCGTCCTACTTTGGGACTCCTCAACAATGCGCATCCACGATTCCGCTCGCAGGATTCGAACCCAGGGCCTTTAGTCTTGAATTGTCAGAGAATTTCGCCTGACAATAAGTTTTCAAAATTCTTATTTCTTAACTAGAAATTTACTTACTGTAAGTAAGTAAGTAATGTTTCTTTATTGACAAATACTTATGAGTATATTTGGATTGTATCATCCTTCACAGTTTTATAATAACATGATTAAAAAAAGATATTGCCTTTCTTAAAACTACTAATAATTTCAAGTATTTTGTTGGTTTTTAGATCTCTGAGCTAAATGGTTTAATTAAAGGTGTTCTTCTTAAAATATACTCTGAATATGTTGTCCAGAATGACAATGAAAGCTCTACAATTAAATCATCTAGCTCAGAGGACTCAACATTATTAAAAGTATCCACGTAAGCTGCAAATATTCTTCATCATTTCAGACATTTCAAGTATAACTAACATTGACAATGATATACAGGAAAACTGAGAGATTTCACTTCTGATTATACTTTAATACAAGTAATGGCAAAATTACATGTTATATGGTGTACAGTGAACATGATAAAAGTAATTTTACATCTTGTGTAAAAAAATTCACAAATAATAATATTATTGCTGAACAGAGGATTTCGATTTCAATTTCTATGCTTAATTTAGAGGTGGTTACAACTAATTATAAAATCTGTACCTTGAAATAGCTGTTCCATTCCAGCATTGATCACGTCTTCCATTGAGTAAAGCAAGATAAGGTGATTCTAAGCACAATGCTGTACTTGAACGTGACCATATATTTGTGATTTCATCCATCTGGAAGGATAAAGTTACATCAAATTAATAACTGATATGAAGAAATCACTAAATGCTTAGTCAAATAAATAATGATCTTTATTTCCTAAGAGTGATTTTAAGCAATGATTATACTTAATTAAAATTAGTCCTGGAAATTACTTTCCAATTGATTTACTAGGCATTACAGAGTATTCAGGTAACTGTATTAGATCCTTGGAAAAGACGTATATTCTAGTTCATCTATCCTAAAGTTTAAGAACGTACGGTGAGGCTCTTATATGAATTATATAACGATGATGGAAGATATTGTGATACGAATAAAAGTGGCATGTAAAATGTTTAGTTTGAAAAAATACTTTTTTCATAAATGTTATTTTTGAACGAATCTAATGATCGGGAGAGTTTTTCTAATTTATTAGTTACTGAGTGACAGATTCAAAGTTTACCTTATCATTTAGTGACGATCGAATTCTATTCATCAAGTTGCAATGTAGTCTAGTTGGATGAACATAGCGTACACCATGTCAGGTTGTTAGATGGCTGAAGATCGTCAACAGGAAACCATAAATCTACGTTTCGTGCTAGTTTTCACTCATTAGCAAGGCTTGTCTGGAGCTTTACCTCCTATCTCCAACCATCTAGTATCTTAATATGCTGTACACAATGTCGAGTTACTCAGACAAATGACTGAATTGTAACTTGAATGATTTAGTACGATTAGAAGTAAAGGAATAGATATGATATTAGTTACTACTCAATTAATGATCAATTGTATACATTTCATTCCTACGGGAGGTTAGCTATTGTCATAGTGATAACGTCTTAGACTATGAACCAGGTGATCATCGTTAACAAACTTGTTTCTATGCATGTATTATTTAGATAATACTAAGTTAAACGACTATTTAATTTGAATTAATTATTAGTATATTATATACTTCTGTTGTGAATTGTTTACAGTGTGGTGAACGAGAACACAAGTGGGGACAATCGAATGTATTTGAATACAAAGTTACAGAAAATCTTAGTAGGATCTGAGAACCATACAGAAAATACTTCATCTGTAAAATGATAATCAACCTTCTCAGACTTCATTGTTCTTTCGTTTCCATACCAATCTTTTCTACGATTTTCTTAACTTTCTGTCACCATGCATTTCACTTTCGATTGATGATACATACTACTTATATCTGTCAACATCAGTAGCACACACCATATCAGCAACTAAACATATGATACTAAATAAGCGGTTTGAAATAATTATGATTTTTCTGCGTCATTGTAGTCGTTTCTAATAAGTTGGAACATTGAATATAATTTGTTAAATGAATATTGCTTTTTATTTGATTTAAATATAAACATCTTATCATTTCTAGGCTTTTTTAAAACTCATGGATTTTGTTTAGTAAGTAAACATTTCATAGCTTACTGAATGTTTTTATGTGTATCACTTGACAATATCATTGTTCCCAAATGGCCTGGTACGGCCAAGGGTGAGGAGGGTTCGCTCTTCATCTCGAAATGCTTTCATATGGCCACGGGTATACAGCCACTACCAAGGAAGTCCTACTCATTGCCTTCTCGTAGTATTACTGTTGTTTACAAAAGTGAGGGGACAAAAAGCGAATGTCTGGTGCTTTAACCGAGTTGGTTGGTGAATATGGATGATCCATCTAGGGGGGTTGGAAAACCCTGACTCCAAACCAATGGTGCACATGGGCTCCAGGATCCTGAAGGAACAAATGGTATATGAACCAATCGTTGGTTACCGTCTACCATGGGACTGCATCTCCTCATGTTACTCCACTGAGTTTTGGATCAGACCTTTAGGTCGAAGGCTCCGTGTGTGTTTCCCTAACAAAACTAGCTGCTTCGGTCTAGGTACCCGAGCAGTTTCACAGTTCACACACAAATCAAGTGACTTGTGTGGCGCATATGTATTCGGTGCACCTTTGCACCAATGTTTACGTGTTCAAATAAATAAATAAACAAGCAAAATATGGACTTATTCATTTTGGAAACTAATAAGGTCATCATTTGATGTTGGAATTCATTTCAACATTGTTTTTTAGGTATCGTACACTTTGTTAACGGTAAGTAAATAATTATACACGAAGCAAACCTATTCAATGAGCGTAGTAAAATATTTGAATGTTATGAGAAGAAGATTCAAGGAGAAATGATTGACGGCGTAAGGTACTTTTTAAAATATTAATACACTTGATGTTTAGTATGTAATTACTAACATTTGGTTGATGTCACTTCTTTGATTTCTTCAGCTATAAGCTTCTGATTAACCTGTAAACTATTGCTAGATCTTTCATTCTAAATTTAATTTAATTTAAACACGAGCCTTATATTCTATTTGTCTACCCTAAATGCTCTATTTCGGCAGATATTATATGTTTGTGTTTATTATACGTTGTCGTTTAGTTATTCGCATATTTAGTAGTGTATTCTTTTGAGCTAGATTATAATTCAAACATAAAGGTTTCTACTTTATTTGTCTTTTATCTTCTCTCACTAATAAAGCAATATCCGCTCAGCAAATGATTAGTTAATGAATAGTACAGTTCTCTGCCTTTAAGCCTGAATGGTCACTGTCATTTGCAATTTCAAGGTTATATTTAGTAGCCTGGAATGCCAAAACCATTAACTAGTTTCAAGTTAAGTTTTTTCGTATAGCTAACTACAGAACCACTTGGTATATTAAAAGTCATGTTGTAGTGTGCACTACTGATGTCGACAGATATAAGAAGTATGTATCACCAATCGAGAGTGAAATACCTGATGGCAGAAAATTGAAAAAATCGATGGAAAGAGAACGAGAACAGAGAGTAATTGGTATGGAAACGAAGGAAAAACAATTGATGGATATTTTGCAAGTGAAGTATTTACTGTAACTCCATCTGAAGACCCTCTGGAGCTATTGCCGGTCCCAAGCCCAGATAAAAGAGAAGGGTTGGGCATGAGGTTAGCGATCTCATTCCGTAGAAAACTAACTCGCTAAAAAAAAGCACTAATTATAAAAAATAAGAACTATTTACTATGTGGTTCTTAGATTTTACCATAACATTCTGTAATATCATATTGAAATACATTTGATTGGTCGGGGTTAGACATGGACACCGTTGGATGCCGGCTCAGTAGTCTAGCAGGTCAAGCGTTCGCGTGTGAGACCGAAGGCCCTGGTTTCGAATCCCGCGAGCGGGATCGTGGATGCGCACTGCTGAGTAGTCCCACAATAGAACGAAACGGCCGTCCAGTGCTTCCAGGTTTTCAATGTTGGTCTAACATCAATAGGTTCATGATCTCGGTCAAAAACATTTGAATGTCCTCGTCTGTGTTCTCATTCACAGAGATACATATTGATTAGATGTTCTAATTTATAAAATGTATAATTTTCATTATTTTAAAAGTTGTATAAATTGAATACATTTACTTACAGTTGTTTTCATTTGTTCAAATATCTTTTTATGTTGTTTTAAACGTTTTGTATTATTACTTTTTATTGTTTGAAATATAGTTTTTGAATTATTTTTAAGTTGATCAAATACATTGTATAATTTTTTTATCCCAGAACATTGTGGTTGTAACTTGTGTAATAAGAAAAGAAAAAGGTTGGCATGTAAGGTGTGATAGCAGTCAAAACAAATAACAAATGAATGTTTTCAAAGTTTATAAGATTTAACTAGGCTTATTTTTTCAAAAGAGTTTTCGTCACAAATCGATATTAAACATTGAGATATTGAGAACTTGAAGGTATTTGGCAACTGATTCATCATCGCCTAGAACGTTATGGACCAGTCAATAATCTAAAATCATAATTTTTAGGTCTTTCTGTCAATATATTACTTTTAGATCATCAAGTGAGGATCTAATGATCACTATTTATAAATCCAGTCTTATTAAATTAACGATTATCCACTGACATAAGTTATATCTCTCACAATTATGACATGGATGACTGACCTGTGTAAACCAACCATTATTTTTCACTAGAAGTTGGGGAATTCGTATTATTGATATTCCCCGATGACTAACACACAAAGTTTGATTAAGTCAAGAACTACGAAAGGAATCGATTTAGTCACAAATAGATTGCTACTTGAGTAATTTGAGCGAATAATATTCGCATGTCAAAGTTAGACGGCTGAAAAGTGTGTGTGTATTGGGTTTGGAAATTCTGAGTGAAGTTACTTCCAGAGCAAATGGTTTGAGGTAGAGTTAATTATCATTAGGATAAATACCAAAACCTTAGTATTCAGATTATGTCAATCCTAGTTGAATAGAAATTTTGGTAATTACATTCGATTAAACGAGAAATTCGGATCAAATTATAAACATTTCATGCGTAATTGAAATCAGAACTAAATAAGGTATATGACTTATAGTATTATAATTTGAAGCAATGACATATATGACGAACTCAGTAAAAATAACCATAGCACTTAGTCTCAACAAATAATGATCTGATAAAATGAAAAGATGTCGACTCAGTGGTCTAGAGACCACTAGAGCGCCAACAATAAAAAACTATCCCTGAATAAATCCAGTATAATACAAAATTTCACTTGCAGAACATTACAGTGGAACTCAGATAACAATAGCTGACATTCGTAATACAGGTTTATATCTCACTGACTTTTGTTAGTGTCAAAACAAGATATGGTAGAGTGTGAAAATTGAGGAAAACACTTTCGATTATTGCTGAGTATTAGTATGAATGATGAACAACAGTACAACACTCACCACTACTACCCAAACAAAGCACTAAAGTCCATACAGTATTTGAAAAGTACACAAACTTGACTAATCATATTCAAGCATGATATAAATCATTAGACTATTAGTATCATCTCATAGTTAGTGTATGTCTCGTACGTAAGATACTGAATGTCCGTTGACCGGATACCATCAGCAACAGCCTATTGTGGGAGAGAACATACCAACTTTCTCCTGAGGAAATTAAGAAAAGACATTGGGAGTGGATAGGACACACATTGAGGAAATCATCAAACTGCATCACAAGACAAGCTCTAACTTGGAATCCTGAAGATAAACAAAAAAGAGGAAGATCAAGGAACAAACTGCGCCAAGAATTGGAAGCAGACATGAAAAGGATGAATAACAACTGCAAAAGATTGCTCAGTACAGAGTTGGATAGAGAGTGTTGGTATGCCCCATTCGCTCCTCCACGAGGGGTAACAGACGTAAGTAAGTAAGTAAGTAAGTAAGTAAGTAAGTAAGTAAGTAAGTAAGTAAGTAAGTAAGTAAGTAAGTAAGTAAGTAAGTAAGTAAGTAAGTAAGTAAGTAGGTAAGTAAGTAAGTAGGTAAGTAAGTAGGTGTATGTCTCATATACAAGACCAATGCTAAATCATAGTCAATAAATATATACACATTTATTTTTTTACTTAGATGAATACATTTCATATTTATAACTAAACTGATCTAAAAAAATCCCAATCATCTCTTACCCAGTTGTGATAAGTATGCAATAATTGATGATAATAATTTACAAGATGTTCTGGAAAATCATCCAATTGACTTTCTAATCTTAATTGTGGTTTTCCTAAAAATATATCTGCCACACTTTTGATAGTTTCTACAATAAAAATAACAATAAATAATAATACGATGAACCCTTTTTTCAATTCAGTAGGAAAAAATCTTTATTGAATATTGAAAATTTCTTTATTAACTTACTGGGTACCAATGAAAAGTTTGAACTATTCGATTAGGAAATCGATAATTTTTAATTCTATCTAACTATAAAACTTTATAATATTGGAATAATGCAGTAGTACGGATATTGGTGAAGTGTGTGCACTTATGAACACTATTGATCTAACTAACTTTATCCTTTCTGAATGTAGCTTAATTGCCTGTGTTTTAATAATGAATATGGTGGTAAATTTTAATGGACATAGGGAATTTAATATTTCGATAGAGAGAGATATACCATTAATCTTTACTTTCCTTGCTCTCAGGTTTTCTCAATTCTTTTACATGTTTTTCATGCAAATATAGTTTTTTTTTCAATTAGACTAGAATCAAATAACGATCACTTATTTACTTACGATTTTCTAACCATTTACAAGTTAGTCTTCTTAGGGTAAAATATCAAAAGCCGAATAGTCTATTAATATCATCTGAAAAGAATTTAAACTTCTGTTATATCCGTACGAAGAATAAATGAATAGTAACAGGCAGAAATCCAATATGCTATGTCCTAGGTTCATCAGATATCACGTGAAAAAATTGTTAGTGAGAATGCTGACTGTTATGACCTTTAAATTGGTATTCATTCCGTAATCATTTTCAGAATGTTTAAGACTTGTTGTTGTTATTATTATAACCATTATTATAGTTAACCATTGTCCAAACAAACCCTAGGTCCTTTAACAAGAAACAGTTTGTCTACTTAAAAGTTAGAAGTAGTTAAAAAACGCAAGCAAAAAAGTGGTTGTGAACATATTTCGAAAGTTGTAATGGGACGTAAATTTTAACAAAGATGTAATGATGTTAGTTTAATTCTTTCATTCACAACAAAAATTAAATCAAAATGTGAGTACCTGAAGACAAAGAACTAAATTGTTTCGCTACAGTGATATGTCTAAATTTTTAAAAACGTGAAGGGAACTCTTTTCAACGAACTTATATATATATATATATATATATATATATACGAATACTTTTTGTTAAAGTATTTGTTCTGTATGGGCATATGAACAGGGAATAAATATGATGATTTAATGAAGGGATATTAACAATAGGAGATTCCGTGCGTGCGAATAGAAAGCCTTGTAAAATTAATAAGTTAGCAACGGATTGTAGTGTGAATGAAGTAAGGTAATTAAAATATTTTTGTTGCAATAATTAAAGGTAATAGAAGAGTAAAAATGTAATGAAGTGATATTAGAAACAACTATGATGATATGAGATATAATTAAATAGAGAGGGGGGCATATTTTTGGGTACAAAATAAAGCGCTGATAATAATAATAGTTTAAGGCCAAGGTAACGATAACGATGAGATGTACCTCTTTTGTACGCAAAGTTCTAGCCTCAAATCATGGATGACAAAGAGCTTCCGCCGTTTCAAGGAGTTGGATAAGAAGAAACCTAAGTGGATTTGGATGAATTTTATAAACATTCTTAAAATCAACCTATGGATCGGTAGAGTGATGAGAGTCGATTCAATGTTCAAAAATGGAACATTTTTCCTCTCATCCTTGTAGAACCACACTGGGACGTTTTCTTGTATCTGAGTTGAAAGCAAGCACTGACCATGGTTTATGTACCTTGCTCACAAGAGAAGATGAACCGGTAGATGCACATGTAGGCGAACAGACGGGGATACCTATCCTATACGGTTATAGAAAACAAGTTCCTATCAGTGAATGTAATTCTCAGATTTGCTGCATAAAATGTTGAAAAAAGATCCCTTCGCTTAACCTCCAGTTTTTAATGTTTAGACGAAAATTATATGTCAATATGTCTTATCATTAACCGAAGCCAGTGAAACACAATTTTTCAATGTTTCAAAAATGGAAAAGAAAAACTGAATCTTGTCAAATCCATGAAATTCTTTTTTGTAGTAAAACTTTGAATATAGTATGTAGTTCACCAAAGATAAACTGTCTCTGATCATGACAGTGACTGCTACGTAATATATAAATTGACTCAATATTTCTGGTGCATCCTGTTGAAAATTAGTTATAACCCGAATTACCAACTATCTACGTTGTTCATTATCATTCTCTTTCTTTTAATTACCTAATACTATTTTATAATCAATGTGACATTATATAATCACTACGTAACGCTACTGATCAATAAGTATTATTTCACTGCTGAGGAGAAGAACTAATACTGTCGATGATTTCAATCAGGTGAATCATGGGTAATATATAACTTTGGCAAATATATCCATCGATTGAAGTTACCCATAAGAGATTTACACCGAAAGATGAAATTATCAAGAGTAGTGCCAGATAGGTGGGAGTATTAACAGTGATAACAATATATATATATATATATATATATATATATATATATTAGTGTAGAGCGATGATGAAAAACTAATAAAAGAGAAATTTTTTCGCTCTATTCTTTCATAATGGAAATCTCCACAACATCAGATAATGCACCAAAATGTTAAACAACTGGACCTAGTAACAATATTCTGTTCTAATCAATATAGTTTATTTGGAATTAATAGTTGAGATTAATTATTGATTGGTGATTTATTACTGTTATTCATTTGGAAGAAGACGTTTGTGAATCGTTAACTTTCTGGCTTGAAAATTCTGCCAATGAAAGTAATGATTGCTTGATAGGATCCGGATATCTTACCAGTTCATTATATATCTGCTCTTAACAAACTAATCATGGGTTAACATTTCAACATGGTACTTAATTACGATATCACAAAATATTTTGTTAATTAGGTTGTGAACATCTAAGTTTCAGTTAAAATCTAAAATCAGTAAGAGAACTAATTCAAACCCAATAAGAACTGGAAAGCTGTTTCATTCTAATCGGAGATCTTCTACGAAGCCAGACATTAACAAATTCTAACATTTCATAAATGTTCAAGTGATAAACTTTGAATTTAATGTAAACATTGTAAGTTTGATAAAAATAACACAAGTGAACTTTAAATTACTCAGGTTATTTTCAGCAATGAACAGCTATTTCTGATTGCATTATTTACAAGGTATAAAAAGTACAAAAACAATCTTTAAATTCACTTGGTTTCGTTTGCTTGTATCTTCCCGCTGTTGTTAAGGACTGCAATTGATCAGTCTCTTGTTAGTATATTTGCATCCTGTTTGGATTGCCTCGATATTGCCTTAAGTCACAAGCTTTTTAATCAAAGTCCCTGAGTGAGCATCAACTTTGGGATGTAGATACATCCAGCTGACGATTTCCAAATAGGACGGAACGCGCATCCTGGATTCCACTGTTAACCACTATTCATCTTTGCTTTATTTTATTTTCAAAAGGAACATATTGTTTTTCTTTAATTATTTGTCAGTTTATTATTTAAACATACACACAATGTCATGTTTGCGATTAACCTTTCTTTTTACTGACTAGTATACACTATGGCACCGCTGAAACATTGAATAATTTTCATATAAGACAGTGATTATATTTTGATTAGTCACTAGTGAATGCTTTAATTAGTAATCATCTTAGTAATCAGTAACAACAAAGTAACCTATCAAATATAGAAGATTGTGTTCAGGTCAAAGGTATTACAAAAAATACAATATTGTTTCAATGAAGAGTAAACTCTATTGATAGATTAGAAAAACAAAAAAGAAACATGCATTTTTTATATCTGAATAATAACAAGTTGCTTTCTAATGAGAGATAGTTATGTAAAATTCAAATAGTTTTTACTTAAAACAGTTTGATACAAATGATTAGAATGTTTGATGGTACCTCTATATTATAATAGAAAAGTACAGGTTTATTAACATTGTACTAGTAGTAAATCTATATGTAGAAAATTAACCAATTCAGAAGTGAGATAGTAACCCATTAATAACATTTAATCAAAATATTATGTTAAAACCTTAAATTTACTGATATTAGATTCCAACTGGGTTACTCTTAAATATATAGCAGTAATGTAATGATTCATAGGTTTTAAGGTCATATCCCATGTAGAGTCGTATATGGTCATTGTTGATGATTCTCAAGTTAAAAGGAAAATACTACTGTTAATTCATTATTATTTGGTATTTCAGTAGTTGAACTGTAGACAACTTATGAGTCCCGGAGTGAACATCGATTCTGGAATGCAGGTACATCCAGCTGAAGAGCCTCAAATGGGACGAAACGCGCGTCCTGGATTCCACTGCTAGCCACTGTCCATCTATCCTTAAAAATGCTCGCGACTTAAGGCCATATCGAGGCAATCCGCACAGAATGCACATATGCCAACAAGAGACTGATCAATTGCAGTCCTTGACAACAATAGGAAGCTACAAGTAAAACAATACTAAGTGAATTTAAACTTTACCCCGTTGGACAAGCAAGTGGCTATCTGTTAGGTTCGAAGCCTAACGAGTTCAATTAAAATTAAAAACGAGAAAGAGATTCGGTGATCAACGACCAGTGAGCTAGTTAATGACGCGTCCCAGCCTCAGCTATCTAGAGGGAGAAGTCCAGGCTTGAAATAAAAGTATATTCTGCAACGACCAGAAAAGAAAGATTTTTTACAAGACAATTTAAAACGTATATATGCAAATATATATACATCGATATTGCCATGGAGCTTTTAAACATTTAGTCGATAGTTCGTCAGTTGACTGTCATTGAAATATTTGAATATTTAATCGATAATTTCGTCAATCGACTATGTGCGTGGGTGGTAAGAAATACCCATGTATACATCTGCATACAAGCTTCACAAGATAAAATTACAAACTATGAGTTTTTGGGGATCTATCGTCCACAACACTATCAGAATTCAGTGGCTACGTAGATAACACGATGGTGTTTGAAGCGAACGGTACTGGGTTCAAATCCCGGGGTGAACATAAACTTTGGGATGCAGATACATCCAGTTGACGAGCCTCAAATACGCGCATCCTAGATTCCACTGCTAGCCACTATCCATCTTTGCTTAAAAACAGTATTGTTCGAAATATAATTACTTCATAATTACATTGTGTCTTGATTTATGTAAATAGTAATGAGTTAATAATTTTATTCGCATTCATCTTGAGAAATAAGTGAGTTGATAATTGAATTATCAGTAAAAAAACATTATATAATTATTATTAAGGCATCCAGTTATCCAACTGTTGATATTTTAGACTGAAACAGTCCAAATGACATGAAATATGCGTCCTAGCCACCATTCAACTCTGCTAATAACCTCCAATATCTATCTCATAGTACCAATAGATGTAGAATCATATTATAAAGGGTCAATTCCTTAAAATTGTAGTTAAGCCCTGTTGACAGTTGTCAACTAAAATGTATTTAAATAACCATCTAATAAATTTGTGACTACATTGTTAATAATTCATATATATAAAATATTGAAATAAACTCATCTTACCTGTGAAACGATACCATTGTGGATTAAGTTGACTAAGAGGTCTTAAACAATCTAATAAAATTTTTAAACATAATTCAGGACATGGTCTTGTTAATGTTTCACCAGCGCATAAAGCACAATAATGCATACGCATTAATTTTCGCATACATGTACCTTGAGCAATATTGAACTAAAATTATAAGGGAAATAAATTAATTCATATAATATTAATTGTAGTTATAAGGTATAAATTATTTGTAATATATATACTGAAGTCGATAGATATAAGTAGTATATATCATCAATCGAAAATGAAATACCTAGTGGCACAAGGTTAAAAAGATCAAAGAAAACAGAACGAGGATGCGTGATGTGAAAACAAAGGAACAATGAAGTCTAAGACGATTAATTGAAAGTTTGCAAATGAAGTATTTACTGTATGGTCCTCAAATATTACTAAGACGTTCTGTAATTTTGTATTCAAATACATTTTGTTCTCTACGCTGTTGTTCTCGTTTACTACAATACCTCTAGCGAATAATTCTCCACAAATTTAGTTTTGGATCATAACTTGCTCATTTTAGTGAATAGGTCTTGGTATTGATAACTCTTGAGTTTAGATGAAATTACAGCTAATGTAGTATAAGAAAATGATTCAATACTTAAGAAATCTCGTTGACATTCATTACTGCAAGTGGAAATAATATCTTTAATAAACCCTAGCTACATCTTCTTCAATGTATCAACTAAAATTTTGAGATTAAACGTCTGATCACATTATAAATGCACAACACCCCCACACACACACGCACACCAAAAAAACAATGTAAAGGTATTACATAATTTTTGAATGGTCACAAATAGTTAAACTTACAGGTTACAGTAATCAAGCATAATCTAAACCATGGTGATGTGTAAATTTTGTTTGTTTGTTTTTTGTTGTTGTTGGTGGTGGTTTGTTTATACGAGTCGTTTCATTTAAAGGCACAATACATAATAATACTTAATATATGAACGACTAATTTGTGTATAGAACAGATGGTAACTAGACAATTTTACTTGTTATCTCTACTAATTAAAATGATATTTTCATATTGAAAACATTGGGCAACATTTTATTATTATTGTTATTATTAAAATGATGTAACCTTTAATAACTGCACTCGTAAAAAGACAAGATTACATACAACAGATTTATATGATAACCAATGAAAGTGATATCATAGTGAATATCTGGATTAGAGAGATTATGATAACGATTAAATTTCATTTAAAGAATAAATTCCTTATTGTTCTTCGATAACTATTGAATATCAAGAAACAGTAAACATTTGTTTGATTCTAGTATGAGACTCTTTAGTAATTCGCATTCATGACCCTAACGGGTTCTGACTCAATACCTTAGATCTGGTACATAAGCGCGTAGCTTCTGAATAACTAAGTAGTTATCTAGTGCTTTACATTTTTAACCTCAATGAAGTTTCACTTAGATGAGAAAGATGATTGAAAAGTAAAGTGCTAAAATATTCACTTTGGTCTATCAATAATTAAATTATGAGAAGGGTTTTTTTAGATATTATAGTAGTTTTAATAGTTGAGATCATGGGTCAATCGAAGCTAGACCACCATGGAAAACTTGGAAGCACTGGACGGCCGTTTCGTCTTATTGTGGGACTTCTCAAGAGGCAGTGACCAGTGGAGCTCACACGGATCTGTATTGAGATAGTAACTCCCTGATGATAATGGTGAATGTGTCGCTCAACTTCGTGGATTCTTGTATGTGGATATAATTTCACATAGTTAGGAAGTTTCAGACCAGAATACAACAATGGTTCTTCTGCTGATGTAAGTCAATTATGAAAACTATACTCAAATACAATCATAATAAGGAGTGAATTGTAATTTCTAGAATAAATATAATGAAGTAAATTCTTTTATTCATCATAGTGATACATCATGTTTTGACTTTATAAACTTGAAAATCAATCGTTTCCCGCTTTAATAATCTTATTTTGAGATGTGTCAGTGACTCTCAATACTATTAGCAAATCAAACACGTTAACCTTTTTAACAGCTTAAAGAATATACTACTAACATGGACGACAACACTAAATATTTCATATTTTAACAGTTTAGAGTTGTAGGGATTGCTAAGTTTCGATTGAGGTCATGAATAGATGAATGTAAGACCACCCCTGGAAGCCTGCAAGCACTGGATGGCCGTTTTATCCTTGTGTGAAGCTCCTAACTAGTGTACATCTACGACCCAACATACGGGATTCGAACTCAGGAACTTTGGTCTCGCTTGCGAACGCTTAACCCCTGAACCTCTAATCCAGAATCCTACAGTGTTAATGTCTAACTTCAAACATCCCATGATATTGCACAACCAACTTGCATTATCTTCGGTAGGTAACTGCATCTCACTCAATACGGATTAGCTCCACTAGTCACAGATTCTCACTGCTGAAGAGTCTCATACTAGAACAAAACAGTTGTCTAGTGCTCTCAGGTTTTCAATGATAGTCTAATATTCACCGGTTCACCTCAACAGACCCCACGACCCCATATTGAATACTATCAAATTCGAATGGACAACTGAAAAATCACATCACTGTAGTTATAGTTACACATTATTATAGTCCTACATGTAAGATTAAATATCTTCTTATGTTAGTTATTTCACTGATTTAATATTTAGTAGTTCTGATTATATTGTTGTTGATATTTTGATGGAATTTTGATCATGTTTAGTTGGCATATGTGCATACTGTGTGAATTAACTTGATATAGCCATCATGTCATTAGTTTATATTTAATGAATGAAACGTGGCTAGGAGATGGATGCGAGACTCTATTTCAAGGCAGTCCACACAAGATACACATATACCAAATAAGACAAATGAGAATTCCGTAAAATTATCAACAACAGGATAATCCTAACCATTACACATTAAAATGAAATTCATACACGAATAAGATGGAGCACAGGTTCTGGATTCCTCTACTAATCTCATTCCATATATTCTATGACAGTTTTATTAACCTATATATTTCTTTGATGTTACATTTTAAAAATTTTTGGCAAGACGATCATTTACGGCCGAACCAATCAAATATAAGATAACAGATTTCGGATTTTGGCGCGAACTTCACTCATCCATTTGGTCACAGAGTTTTGGCATTATAACTGATATCAATTCATGATAAAAACCCTAAATCTAATTGCTAACCTTAATCATCAACTGTAAATCATAATTCTAATTCCTCACACTAGTTTATAACGCTTATTTGATCCTATTTATTAGGTGGACACTTTCAAGGTCACTAATGTGTCGCTCAAAGGTCATTTACAAATGTTAGTTTCATCAAAATGTCTTTCTGTAAAAAATTATCAACTATAAAGAACTAACAAACCCTAACCATATTTCACTTGGCTTAATTTATTTCCACATTTTACTATTATTAATGAAACATCTGTCTATAAAAATTCACTTATATTCTACAATTGCTATTTTTATTTTCAATGTATTTTATCATATAAGGAAAGATTATTTCTTTTTGTGGAATGAGAAGAAAAAAAGAAAAGAAAAGCGAATGATATTTGTGCAATACATATGTGTTGTTACCGTTGTTGTTTTTATCGCTGTTGTTGTTGTTGTTGTCGTTGTTGTTGTTGTTGTCTAGTTCGATGTTGATTTATGATTAAACTTATTTCATTTCAGTGGAAATTATATTTTGGCAATCACTCATATGAATTTTAACCAAGAATGAGGTCATTACACATACACTGTTGAAATATATATATATATATATATTCTTGTGATTGCTTTAAAAGAAATCATCAATGAATTTTGTCATTTCTTTTTTATTTCATAACGGTACTTTAAAATTTGCCATTTATTATTTAGATTTCATAATGAAGATGATAGGCTTGTTTAATTATAGAAATCTGATAATGATTGAATTTATTTTCATTGTTATCTTAGGAGTTGTTATGTTCAAGATAACAAATTATTATACATTATTCATAGATCAGCTTATAGTCTCTAAGTTTTAGAATATTTTAAACCTTATTTAAGAATTGTGAAAAGATCGGTGCTTAAAGTTTTCGTCTTAGTATGAGACTCATCAACAGTGAGTATCTACGATCACTAATCTAGGAATAAATCCATGATCATTGGTCTTCAGGTTTACTTCTAAACCAATGAAACAATAAACATTACTGTTCATATCTAATTATAGTCGATTAACAATATCATGACTGTGATTGATGGAGTTCAACAATGTTCGATGTAAAATAGTTATCCAACTCAGGCAATGAATAAGGGCTGTATAAAATTTTAAGTTGATTGAAGTTAGACAATCGTACACTACTAATTGCTAACTTAATGATCTAGAGGTTAAAATTTCACACACGAGACTGTAGTTACTGGTTCCGATTCCCGGATATGAAGTTATGGAATATACACTCTTACTGAGTTCTATACTGAAGCGAAAAATTGTATCAGAGCTTCCAATGATTCAATAATTGTATAGCTAAAATAAGTTCGTGTTTTTAATTAAGATGATATAAATCAACCTAATCAGAGAGGGGTTCTTGTAGATATTATAGTGATTTAATAGTTGAATTCATGAGTTAATCGAAGCTAGACCACCATGGAAAACTTGGAAGCACTGGACGAAAAAGCCGTTCAGTGCTTCTAGGTTTTCTGTGATGGTCTAGCTTCAATTTACTCATGGATCCAACTATTAAATACATATATACATATTCGATTACACCATATTGTTTACTTTCTAAACAAATAAATGTTTTGATTACAAAGCTTTATAATGTACTTCCAAAGTTAGTTCGTATCAATTAAGTTTTATTCTTAATATAAATAAGTAATGGAAACCTGAATTGTGAACTAACAAAAAATCAGTTTAATGGTTACTAAGGATGACTGTAATTAACTACTAAGTGGTATAATTAATACATATGTATATATTATTTATAGGATATTTAAAGTGATACTCTACATTTTACTAAGTGTATTGACCTATAGTAATGAACAGTTAATATTCAATTAAGTAATCAGTACTGATTTACGATGAGTAAATTATGTAAGTAAATATATATGAATAAAGGTTATTTGAATGTTAAAGTTAATATTTATTCAAGACTAACGTTAAACTCCAAAACCACAA